CACAAGCAGTAGTGGACCCCATACCCATCCCACAAGCAGTAGTGGACCCCATACCCATCCCACAAGCAGTAGTGGACCCCATACCCATCCCACAAGCAGTAGTGGACCCCATACCCATCACGAAAGCAGTAGTGGACCCCATACCCATCACACAAGCAGTAGTGGACCCCATACCCATCCCACAAGCAGTAGTGGACCCCATACCCATCCCACAAGCAGTAGTGGACCCCATACCCATCCCACAAGCAGTAGTGGACCCCATACCCATCCCACAAGCAGTAGTGGACCCCATACCCATCCCACAAGCAGTAGTGGACCCCATACCCATCCCACAAGCAGTAGTGGACCCCATACCCATCCCACAAGCAGTAGTGGACCCCATACCCATCCCACAAGTAGTAGTGGACTCCATACCCATCCCACAAGCAGTAGTGGACCCCATACCCATCCCACAAGCAGTAGTGGACCCCATACCCATCCCACAAGCAGTAGTGGACTCCATACCCATCCCACAAGCAGTAGTGGACCCCATACTCATCCCACAAGCAGTAGTGGACCCCATACCCATGCCACCAAGCAAAATATGAACGCGACGTAGTGTAGTTAAAACAGGTATTTAGACCTGTGGGCTCCGAGGGACGGTAATCATCAGGGGAAAACGAGGCTAATTAGGCCTTAACGACTATATCGCTCCTATTTAAACCCTCTGGGCTCCACCCGCCGCCTCACCTAGTTGTACGCAACTAGTTGTACACAACTAGTTGTACACAACTAGTTGTACACACCTAGTTGTACACACCTAGTTGTACACACCTAGTTGTACACACCTAGTTGTACACACCTAGTTGTACACAACTAGTTGTACACACCTAGTTGTACACAACTAGTTGTACACAACTAGTTGTACACAACTAGTTGTACACACCTAGTTGTACACAACTAGTTGTACACACCTAGTTGTACACACCTAGTTGTACACAACTAGTTGTACACACCTAGTTGTACACAACTAGTTGTACACAACTAGTTGTACACACCTAGTTGTACACAACTAGTTGTACACAACTAGTTGTACACAACTAGTTGTACACAACTAGTTGTACACAACTAGTTGTACACACCTAGTTGTACACAACTAGTTGTACACAACTAGTTGTACACACCTAGTTGTACACACCTAGTTGTACACACCTAGTTGTACACACCTAGTTGTACACAACTAGTTGTACACAACTAGTTGTACACAACTAGTTGTACACAACTAGTTGTACACACCTAGTTGTACACACCTAGTTGTACACAACTTGTTGTACACAACTAGTTGTACACACCTAGTTGTACACACCTAGTTGTACACAACTAGTTGTACACACCTAGTTGTACACAGCTAGTTGTACACACCTAGTTGTACACAACTTGTTGTACACAACTAGTTGTACACAACTAGGTGGGGAGAGTGTGGAGGTGGAGGGGAGAGTGTGGGGGTGGAGAGGAGAGTGTGGGGGTGGCGAGGAGAGTGTGGGGGTGGAGGGGAGAGTGTGGGGGTGGAGGGGAGAGGAGAGTGCGTGGGTGGAGAGGAGAGTGTGGGGGTGGAGGGGAGAGTGTGGGGGTTTGGAGGGGAGAGTGTGGGGGTGGAGGGGAGAGTGTGGGGTGGAGGGGAGAGGAGAGTGTGGGGGAGGAGGGGAGAGTGTGGGGGTGGAGAGGAGAGTGTGGGGGTGGAGGGGAGAGTGTGGGGGTGGAGAGGAGAGTGTGGGGGTGGAGAGGAGAGTGGGGGGTGGAGGGGGAGAGTGTGGGGTGGAGGGGAGAGGAGAGTGTGGGGGTGGAGGGGAGAGTGTGGGGGTGGAGAGGAGAGTGTGGGGGTGGAGGAAAGAGTGTGGGGGTGGAGGGGAGAGTGTGGGGGTGGAGGGGAGAGTGTGGGGGTGGAGAGGAGAGTGTGGGGGTGGAGAGGAGAGTGTGGGGGTGGAGGGGAGAGTGTGGGGGTGGAGGGGAGAGTGTGGGGGTGGAGGGGAGAGTGTCGGGGTGGAGGGGAGAGTGTGGGGGTGGAGAGGAGAGTGTGGGGGTGGAGGGGAGAGTGTGGGGGTGGAGGGGAGAGTGTGGGGTGGAGGGGAGAGTGTGGGGGTGGAGGGGAGAGTGAGGGAGTGGAGAGGAGAGTGTGGGGGTGGAGGGGAGAGTGTGGGGGTGGAGAGGAGAGTGTGGGGGTGGAGGGGAGAGTGTGGGGGTGGAGAGGAGAGTGTGGGGGTGGAGGGAGAGTGTGGGGGTGGAGGGGAGAGTGTGGGGGTGGAGAGAACAGTGTGGGGGTGGAGGGAAGAGTGTGGGGGTGGAAAGGAGAGTGTGGGGGTGGAGAGGAGAGTGTGGGGGTGGAGGGGAGAGTTTGGGGGTGGAGGAGAGAGTGTGGGGGTGGAGGGGAGAGTGTGGGGGGGGAGGGGAGAGTGTGGGGTGGAGGGGAGAGTGTGGGTGTGGAGGGGAGAGTGTGGGGGTGGAGGGGAGAGTGTGGGGGTGGAGGGGAGAGTGTGGGGGTGGAGGAGAGAGTGTGGGGGTGGAGGGGAGAGTGTGGGGTTGGAGGGGAGAGTGTGGGGGTGGAGGGGAGAGTGTGGGGGTGGAGGGGAGAGTGTGGGGGTGGAGGGGAGAGTGTGGGGGTGGAGAGGAGAGTGTGGGGGTGGAGAGGAGAGTGTGGAGGGTGGAGGGGAGAGTGAGGGGAGTAGAGGGGAGAGTGTGGAGAGTAGAGGGGAGAGTGTGGAGAGTAGAGGGGAGAGTGTGGAGAGTAGAGGGGAGAGTGTGGGGAGTAGAGGGGAGAGTGTGGAGAGTAGAGGGGAGAGTGTGGGGGTGGAGAGAAGAGTGTGGGGGTGGAGGGGAGAGTGTGGGGGTGGAGAGGAGAGTGTGGGGGTGGAGAGGAGAGTGTGGGGGTGGAGGGGAGAGTTTGGGGGTGGAGGAGAGAGTTTGGGGGTGGAGGAGAGAGTGTGGGGGTGGAGGGGAGAGTGTGGGGGTGGAGGGGAGAGTGTGGGGGTGGAGGGGAGAGTGTGGGGGTGGAGGGGAGAGTGTGGGGGTGGAGGGGAGAGTGTGGGGGTTGAGGGGAGAGTGTGGGGGTGGAGGGGGAGAGTGTCGGGGTGGAGGGGAGTGTGTGGGGGTGGAGGGGAGAGTGTGGGGGTGGAGGGGAGAGTGTGGGGGTGGAGGGGAGAGTGTGGGGGTGGAGGGGAGAGTGTGGGGGTGGAGGAGAGAGTGTGGGGGTGGAGGGGAGAGTGTGGGGTTGGAGGGGAGAGTGTGGGGGTGGAGGGGGAGAGTGTGGGGGTGGAGAGAAGAGTGTGGGGGTGGAGGGGAGAGTGTGGGGGTGGAGAGGAGAGTGTGGGGGTGGAGAGGAGAGTGTGGGGGTGGAGGGGAGAGTTTGGGGGTGGAGGAGAGAGTGTGGGGGTGGAGGGGAGAGTGTGGGGGTGGAGGGGAGAGTGTGGGGGTGGAGGGGAGAGTGTGGGGGTGGAGGGGAGAGTGTGGGGGTGGAGGGGAGAGTGTGGGGGGTGGAGGGGAGAGTGTCGGGGTGGAGGGGAGTGTGTGGGGGTGGAGGGGAGAGTGTGGGGGTGGAAGGGAGAGTGTGGGGGTGGAGGGGAGAGTGTGGGGGTGGAGGGGAGAGTGTGGGGTGGAGGGGAGAGTGTGGGGGTGGAGGGGAGAGTGTGGGAGTGGAGAGGAAAGTGTGGGGGTGGAGGGGAGAGTGTGGGGGTGGAGGGGAGAGTGTGGGGGTGGAGGGGAGAGTGTGGGGGTGAAAGGGAGAGTGTGGGGGTGGAGGGGAGAGTGTGGGGGTGGAGAGAAGAGTGTGGGGGTGGAAGGGAGAGTGTGGGGGTGGAGAGGAGAGTGTGGGGGTGGGGAGGAGAGTGTGGGGGTGGAGGGGAGAGTTTGGGGGTGGAGGAGAGAGTGTGGGGGTGGAGGGGAGAGTGTGGGGGTGGAGGGGAGAGTGTGGGGGTGGAGGGGAGAGTGTGGGGGTGTGAACGGCTGGATCCCAAACACACTTTCGTCTCCGAGATATGCCAAAAATCTACCTTTTACCAGCAGATACTTTTACCTCAGCAGACTCCAGCAGATGATTCCAGCAGACTCCCGCAGACTCCAGCAGACTCTAGTAGACGACTCCAGCAGAATCCAATAGCCGACTTCAGCTAACTTACGCAAACTCCAGCAGATTCTAGCAGACGACTCTCGCAGAAATAGCAGACTCCAGCAGACAACTCCAGCAGACTCCAGCAGATGACTCCAGCAGACAACTTCAGCAGACTTCGGCATAGTCCAGCAGACGACTCTAGCAGACTCCAGCAGAATCCAGTATACGACTCCAGCAGACGACTCCAGCAGACTATTCCAGCAGACTCCAGCAGACGAATCCTGCATATTCCAACAGACTCCAGCAGTCTCCAGCAGACTCCAGTAGACGACTCCAGCAGTCTCCAGCAGGCTCCAGTAGACGACTCTAGCAGACTCTACCTGACTACAGCAGACTTCAGCAGACTCCAGCAGACTCTAGTAGACGACTCTCGCAGACTCCAGCAGACTACAGCAGACGACTCCAGTAGACTCTAGTAGACGACTCTCGCAGACTCCAGCAGACGTCTCCAGCAGACGACTCCAGCAGACAACTCCAGTAGACTCCGGCAGACTCCAGTAGACTACAGCAGACTTCAGCAGACTCCAGCAGATGACTCCAACAGACTCCAGCAAACTCTAGTAGACGACTTCATCAAACGACTCTAGCAGATTCCAGCAGACGGCTCCAGCAGGCATCTTCAGCAGACCCCGGCAGACTCCAGCAGGCAACTTCAGCAGACTCCAGCAGACTCCAGCAGACAACTTCAGCAGACTCCAGCAGACTCCAGCAGGCAACTCCAGCAGACTCCAGCAGACTCCAGCCTCTGACATAGACAGTAATTATATTTACATTTTTTCCTCGACTCCCTTATTGGATGTTGCGATGTTTTCTCTAATGCCGTTTAAACCAAGAGCTTCACTATAGTGACTCTCACTGTTCAAGGCTCATCTATATCATCACTATATTCATCTACATCATCACTATATTTATCTACATCATCACTATATTCATCTACATCATCAATATATTCATCTACATCATCACTATATTCATCTACATCATCACTATATTCGTATACATAACAGCTATCACCATTTACGTCATCACTATAATTCACAGATTCACAATTGACAGTGATGGTGTTGAGGGTGAGTGGCGAGGGAGGCGGATGGTGATGATGATGACTTGTGGACTCCACTTGTGTGAACCACCAGGCACCGGGTCGTAGCCTCCCACACACAAGTATACTTAACGAGGTCGTTCCTCTCCCTGAACGGTGCCAGCAATCATGGGGGCTCCCTGAGCTCTCTCTCTCTCTCTCTCTGTCTGTCTGTCTCTCTCTCTCTCTCTCTCTCTCTCTCTCTCTCTCTGTCTCTCTGTCTCTCTCTCTCTCTCTCTCTCTCTCTCTCTCTCTCTCTCTCTCTCTCTCTCTCTCTCTCTCTCTCTCTCTCTCTCTCTCTCTCTCTCTCTCTCTCTCTCTCTGTCTCTCTCTCTCTCTCTCTCTCTCTCTCTCTCTCTCTCTCTCTGTCTGTCTGTCTGTCTCTCTCTCTCTCTCTCTCTCTCTGTCTCTCTGTCTCTCTGTCTCTCTCTCTCTCTCTCTCTCTCTCTCTCTCTCTCTCTCTCTCTCTGTCTCTGTCTCTCTCTCTCTCTCTCACTCTCTCTCTCTCTCTCTCTCTCTCTCTCTCTCTCTCTCTCTCTCTCTCTCTCTCTCTCTCTCTCTCTGTCTCTCTCTCTCTCTCTCTCTCTCTCTCTCTCTCTCTCTCTCTCTCTCTCTCTGTCTGTCTGTCTGTCTGTCTGTCTGTCTGTCTGTCTGTCTGTCTGTCTCTCTCTCTCTCTCTCTCTCTCTCTCTCTGTGTCTGTCTGTCTGTCTGTCTGTCTGTCTGTCTGTCTGTCTGTCTCTCTCTCTCTCTCTCTCTCTCTCTCTCTCTCTCTCTCTCTCTCTCTCTCTCTCTCTCTCTCTCTCTCTCTCTCTCTCACTCTCTGTCTGTCTGTCTCTCTCTCTCTCTCTCTCTCTCTCTCTCTCTCTCTCTCTCTCTCTCTCTCTCTCTCTCTCTCTCTCTGTCTCTCATTCGCAAATAAGGCAAATGGGTTCGCTAGTTTCTTGTCTAGAGATTGTGATTAGGTCGCACTCCAATTGGTCGGGGAGGATTGTTAGCCAGGAAGGTCAATTGTTGAGAGGTCAACAGATGGAGAGGAGAACCTGTTGACTAACTGCTCTACTATCATCACAACTTTCTTAACAAATCTCTCCCGCAACAAGGGGGAGGGGGGGGGGGTGGAAGGGGGATTTTCCATCTCATCTCTTGGCCTAAATTTCGTCTCAAACTACAACACATTCTTGAATCATCGTATCATCACATGGAGTGATGATACAGGGTCGTACACTGCACTATAATATGGACCTGTAGTGATATGACTACAGGTCCATATTATACACTACAGGACTACAGGTGTATGACTCGTACACTATTTTGAGGTTATCTTGAGTTGATTTCGAGGCTTTTTAGTGTCCCTCCACCCCCAGGAAGCAGCCCGTGACAGCTGACTAACTCCCAGGTACCTATTTACTGCTAGGTAACAGGGGGCATCATGGTGAAAGAAACTCTGCCCATCGTTTCTTATTACTACACTGTAATGAGTCCTATAATGCCACCAAATGCTTCATTAAAAACATCTTATTCCATCGTAGGCTAATATAGGCTTATTGCTGTGCCTGTGTGCGCATAACCATCACTAAACAATCATTAACTATCTCCATCATTATCGTAATTAATATCAAAATGTTTACGACCATATTTAGTCAGAATTATATTAATTATTGCAGGAGTCATTATTATAATTGTTATCGCAGTGATATCATCAATTTACTGATAGCGAGTTGCGTCATAATCACGACACATTTCCCACCAGAAAAATTCCCGCGTTATTTACATGTCCGAGAAGCCTGCATTTTGCAACAAGTTAATTAAAACTGACGTCTCTTTGATAAGGCATGAAAATTGCAGTGCCGTTTTCAGCATAACTTGTGAATATATATTTGCAACATTTGTCTCCTCGCAAGTTGTGATTAATTATCTGCTGTTAATTCGTTTATATTTAGTGTAAATTGTCATCCACACTTCCTTCGAAATCAAGATTCCAATCACCTGGGCACTAGGAGATTCGAACTACGGAACCAGGATGCTGCTGCTTCTAGAAACTTTCCTTATTAAGACTCCACAATAGCTTCCTCACCAACCAGCAAGTTTGGTGTGGGACTTAAGGCCTGTGAACGTCCCGAAAGCTAAATAATATCTGCCAATCCGCACAAACGCCCATTGAATCTTTAAATTTCGATATGATAAAGTGATTAATTATTGCCTATGATTTGTCATCGTCTAATGAGGTCACTCTTTATGTTTTTGATGGAGTGGTTTCGCTTATATGGAGCAGCGGTGCTGTGATGACTAGTCCGCTTGTCAGTGTTGCCCGCTGGAGGCCGGCGGTTGTCTTAGGCTAGCGGGTGAGACTCCTGTTATTGTCAGTAGCGTCGTTGTTTATAAACAAGTACAAATAGAAAGTGTTGGGATGGCGTGTTTGTGTGGGCGTTTGTTTGTGTGTGTGTGTTTGTTGTTCAGCCATGATGTAACTGGCTGAGCTATTCAGCCAATGAGCCATCACACGTGGGTTTGTGTCTTGAGTCAGAAGAACACTTCTGTTTCTTAATTGGCTGTTTGAGGCCTCGTGGGGACTCACAATTGTGTCACAGAAAGATGTCACTTCATTTAGGGAGAGTCGGCCACCTGAGGTCACCGGGTGCGATATATACCCTGGGAGTTTACCTCAGTGCTGCCCCGACCGTTTTAGCGCCCGGACAGGGGGCGCTGCTCTCCGTTTTTTTATCGGCGCCATGGGGACACCCCTCTCCCTATTCGCCGTATGGAAACGATAGGTCTGGAGTTCTCTGGCCGAGCGACATATCTGGCTGTGGAGGTCATTCTCCTGGATATGTTCTGTGTCAAAGTGTTTGATGTTTTTAGAATCCAGCTGTTAACGACCCACCGGGCACTCATCAAGTTTCACTCTCCAGCTGTTTATCGAGATTTAGTGGCCCGGTATGATGGGCGTTTGTGTACCCTCCCAAGTGACGGTGGTACCGTCGCTGTCTCCGATCGCTGCTGCGCCCTCTCGTATGTGGCGCTGCATGGTGTCCCGTTTGAGTTTAGTGAGGACCCGCTGCGGTGCAATTTTGGGACCGTGGTTTCTTTGCAGTTGAATAACGTCTCTTCCGGCAGGTGGCGTGGGGTCTCGTGTGGTACTCTTCCGGCAGGTGGCGTGGGGTCTCGTGTGGTACTCTTCCGGCAGGTGGCGTGGGGTCTCGTGTGGTACTCTTCCGGCAGGTGGCGTGGGGTCTCGTGTGGTACTCTTCCGGCAGGTGGCGTGGGGTCTCGTGTGGTACTCTTCCGGCAGGTGGCGTGGGGTCTCGTGTGGTACTCTTCCGGCAGGTGGCGTGGGGTCTCGTGTGGTACTCTTCCGGCAGGTGGCGTGGGGTCTCGTGTGGTACTCTTCCGGCAGGTGGCGTGGGGTCTCGTGTGGTACTCTTCCGGCAGGTGGCGTGGGGTCTCGTGTGGTACTCTTCCGGCAGGTGGCGTGGGGTCTCGTGTGGTACTCTTCCGGCAGGTGGCGTGGGGTCTCGTGTGGTACTCTTCCGGCAGGTGGCGTGGGGTCTCGTGTGGTACTCTTCCGGCAGGTGGCGTGGGGTCTCGTGTGGTACTCTTCCGGCAGGTGGCGTGGGGTCTCGTGTGGTACTCTTCCGGCAGGTGGCGTGGGGTCTCGTGTGGTACTCTTCCGGCAGGTGGCGTGGGGTCTCGTGTGGTACCCGGACTCTCGCCATCCGACAAACAAAAACAAAACAAAATGAAGAAACTAAACAAAACAGAAGACAAACAAAACGCTGATGTAATTTACACATAATGTGACCATGGTGTTATTGCACATAAAATGCGTTCAAAAGGAATTACCGGAAAAAATAGGCAGATGGATCTACAATTTCCTGACCAACAGAACCCAATGTGTAATAGTCAACAAAATAAAATCCAGCCCATCAACCGTGAAGAGCTCAGTCCCCCAGGGTACTGTGCTTGCTCCAGTACTTTTTCTCATCCTCATATCGGACATAGACAATAACACAACCTATAGCACTGTATCATCCTTTGCAGATGACATTAGGATTTTCATGAGAGTTGGCAACATAGAGGACACGGCAAACCTCCAATCAGATGTAGATCAGGTCTTTCTATGGGCTACAGAAAATAATATGGTGTTTAACGAGGATAAGTTCCAGCTCATGCGCTACGGAAAAATTGAAAATATAAAAACGGAAACCACGTACAAAACTCAGGCAAATCATATCATAGAACGAAAAGGCAATGTAAAGGATCTGGGTGTACTCATGTCGGAAGACCTTACCTTTAAAGAACACAATAAAGTAGCCGTCACAACTGCAAGAAAAATGACAGGTTGGATAACAAGAACTTTTCACACTAGAGATGCTATACCGATGATGATACTTTTCAAAACGCTTGTGCTCTCTAGAGTGGAATACTGCTGCACAATGACAGCCTCTTTCAAAGCTGGTGAAATTGCTGACCTGGAGAGCGTGCAGAGATCCTTTACTGCTAGAATCCACTCAGTGAAACATCTAAATTACTGGGACCGACTAAAGAGCCTAAATCTGTACTCCCTTGAGCGCAGGCGGGAGAGATACATAATAATTTACATGTGGAAAATAATTGAGGGGCTGGTCCCAAACCTGCACACAGAAATAACATCACATGAGACCAGAAGACATGGCAGGATGTGCAGAATACCCCCGTTGAAAAGCAGAGGTGCAACAGGTACTCTGAGAGAGAACTCTATCAACATCAGAGGCCCGAGACTGTTCAACACGCTTCCGCTACACATAAGGGGCATAACTGGCTGACCCCTCACAGTGTTCAAGAGAGAACTGGTAAAGCACCTCCAAAGGATACCTGATCAACCAGGCTGTGACTCATACGTCAGGCTGCGAGCAGCCGCGTCTAACAGCCTGGTTGATCAGTCCAGCAACCAGGAGGCCTGGTCGACGACCGGGCCGCGGGGACGCTAAGCCCCGGAAGCACCTCAAGGTAACCTCAAGGTAAGGTAAAGGTATCCGTCTCAAGTCACCGGTTCCGTCTACTGTGACGTTGATGGGATACACCATGCGTGCCTTTTATGCAGGGCAGCCCAGGACCTGTTATCGTTGTAGCCTTGAGGGGCACCAAGCGGCGGCCTGTACTGGCTGCACCTGTCAACTTGTTTCAGGAGGAGGATTTTCCCCCGTTGGTGGGTCAGGACCTGTCGCCCTGTGATGCGGTGGGTGGGGAGGCTTCCCTGCCGTCTGCTGGCCGGGTGGTGTTACCAGGCTCCTCGGCTGGTGTGCCAATGTATACGGAAAGTGCTGTGCGTGACGGGGTGGTGGTGCATAACACCCCACCCCCGCACTTGGCCTCTTCGCTGCCGACGGCTTCATCGCCTCTCCGCGCCTTTTCTCCTCTGCCGGTACATGCCTCTCCGCGTGCTACCTCTCCTGTGCTGGTCCCTTCACTTCCGCCGACTGCGCCTGTTATCTCTCCAGTTCCAGTCTCCTCCGTGGGTGATGGCCTCGTCCCCTGTGACGTGGAGGAGGCGTTACTCCGGGTCGTGCTCATCCAGCTCTGGGGCAGCCTGCCGACGGCTGTTCTTGGGCGCCTCCTGCTGGGTGTAACAGCACAGATGATCAACGTCCGGTTTCGAGGCATTCTAGAACGGATAGAAGTCTGTCGCCACCTCGTGCGTGGGCTGAGGAATGTGAGGTTGAAGAGTTTGATGTTGATTCCTCTGTGAGATCTTTCTCCGTGGAGTGTGAGGTTGATGTACCGGGAGCTGGTGTGGTTCTGGCAAGTGGTTTGGACCCTGGTGTGGCCCCTGTTATCAGGAGTGTGTCGCCCCCTCGTGAGTAGACTGCCGAGTGTGATGCTGTGGTTCCTAATGCTGTAGGTGGCCCTGTGCTGCATCTTGTGTCGGCCCCTGCGCCGCCTGCTGTTGGCTCTCCTCCGTGGGCAGCTGCCCCTGGTAATAGAGACCTCGTCGTGGTGTTGACGAAACATGTGCGCTGGGGACCTCTATTCCTGTACCTGGTAGGGAAGGGGGTGTCCTGGCGAGCTTGCGGGTTCCCCCTGTGCGGCACCCGGTGTGGAGCCTAGTGTGTGTTCCAGTGCGTCGTTTTCAATGTCTCCTGCTTCCTTGGCGGCGGTACTGCCGCCCCTCCAGTCTCTGCCTTCGTCTTCTGTGTTCTCCACTGGAGGGGAGGACGCTTCCGCCCGGGTTTCCACCTGATCTCGTGGTTCCGGATTTCATGAGGTGCCCACGGCGTTGTGGGAATGTCCACCCTACCAGGCGGGAGCGGATGGCTTGGGACGCCTATGTTCTGATGTATCCGAAATCACAGTACCCTCACAAGTATGAGGGTTGTGATCATTGAGTGATTTGTTCCTGTTGCATCTGTTTCCTATGTGTTGCGGTGGTTGTGTCTGTCCGTGTGGTTGTAGGGTGGGTAGTTGAGTGTGTGTCTATGTGTTGCGGTGGTTGTGTCTGTCCGTGTGGTTGTAGGGTGGGTAGTTGAGTGTGTGTCTGGTTAGGTTTTGTGTCCTCGGTTCTTGCCCTTTCCGATTCTGTGTTTGTGTGCGTTGGGTTATATATATGTGTATTCATGCCTTTATATGTGTGTTACGTGTCTGGTTGTGTGTTTGGGTGTCCTATATACTTTCGTATGCTTGGTACTGGATTGTTTTTGAGAGGTTATCTTGAGATGATTTCGGGGCTTTTTTTTTTTTTTAGTGTCCCCGCGGCCCGGTCCTCGACCAGGCCTCCACCCCCAGGAAGCAGCCCGTGACAGCTGACTAACTCCCAGGTGCCTATTTAATGCTAGGTAACAGGGGCATTCAGGGTGTAAGAAACTTTGCCCATTTGTTTCTGCCTCGTGCGGGAATCGAACCCGCGCCACAGAATTACGAGTCCTGCGCGCTATCCACCAGGGGCCAGATTCACGAAAGCACTTACGCGAGCACTTACGAACGTGTACATCTTTCCTCAATCTTTGACGGCTTTGGTTACATTTATTAAACAGTTTACAAGCATGAAAACTTCCCATTCAACTATTGTTATTATTAAAAACAGCCTCCTGGTGCTTCCGAGCTCATGAACTGTTTAATAATTGGAAACAAAGCCGCCAAAGATTGAAAAAAGATGCACAAGTTCGTAAGTGCTTGCGTAAGTGCTTTCGTGAATCTGGCCCCAGGCTACGAGGTATTTTGTCCTGCTGTATATATGTCTGTGATTTGTGGGGCTGGTTGTATTTTTGTCTTGCTGTTCTTACGGCCTTCATGGTTGTGTTCGTGTCCATAGTTTTCTGTCAATTTTGATTTATGGTTTTCTGTTTTATGTTTTCTATGCAGTGCCCGATTCGTGGTCTTCTATTATTTGTGCTATGTCTCCTGTATGTTTCATTATTAGTTTTTTTGTTCTGTGTATCCTGTTTGTTTTCATGAATTGTCTCATTCAGTCATTGCCCGAAAGTTACTGTTACTGTTACTCAGTTACTGCCCGAAACCCTTTGCGTAATAGTGGCTTTAGGCATTGTATGTACTAGCTCTTATCTATAAAGCCAACAAACTTTGTAAAATCTCTTTATGTATGTACCTTTCTAAATAAAAATTATTATTATTATTATTATTGCTATTTTGTTCTATGTCTATTGTTTATTTATTTTATAAATAAATAAAAAAAACTTTATTTCATAGCATTGTTGGGTCTGATTTATGGTGAGTGAACTGGTGATGACACAAAGGGCGCCTGACAGCTGAGTGGACAGCGCTTCAGATTCGTAGTCCTGAGGTTCCGGGTTCGATTCCCGGTGGAGGCGGAGACAAATGGGCAAAATGCTTCTTTCACCCTGATGCCCCTATTACCTAGCAGTAAATAGGTACCTGGGAGTTAGACAGCTGCTACGGGCTGCTTCCTTGGGGTGTGTAACAAAAAAGAGGCTTGGTCGAGGACCGGGCCGTGGGGACGCTAAGCCCCGAAATCAACTCATGAAGATGATCACTATTCAAAGACGGACCCAGGGATTTCCTTGACAGTTAAGATAGCAATTACCATTTGAATTGATATCAATGTTATCTTGGCTAATAAGTATTGTCACATAACAATAGTTTGAGAACTAGTGATATTTAAACAAATAACCTTCACCATTTGATATCAAAATTGTTATCAAAATAAGTTATCATGGTGTTTGATAACAAATTGTTATCAAAATACTAAAAAAACAGAATCTTGTCGGTGTTTTACTGTGTGTGGAGCCGAGCGATGTTTGGGTGAGCCTTTGTCGGCTTTTCTCAGGTGTTTGTATGTTTTTGTGTGTGTTTTTGTTGAAAGTTTTAATAGTTTTTTGTTGAAAGTTTTAATAGTTTTTTGTTTGGTAGTTTAATTGTTTTTTATTGAGAGTTTAATAGTGTTTTTGTTGAGAGTTTGATCGTGTTTTTGTTGAGAGTTTGATCGTGTATTTGTTGAGAGTTTGATCGTGTATTTGTTGAGAGTTTGATCGTGTTTTTGTTGAGAGTTTGATCGTTTTTGTTGAGAGTTGATCGTGTTTTTGTTTGATCGTGTATTTGTTGAGAGTTTGATCGTGTTTTTGTTGAGAGTTTGATCGTGTTTTTGTTGAGAGTTTGATCGTGTTTTTGTTGAGAGTTTGATCGTGTTTTTGTTGAGAGTTTGATCGTGTTTTTGTTGAGAGTTTGATCGTGTTTTTGTTGAGAGTTTGATCGTGTTTTTGTTGAGAGTTTGATCGTGTTTTTGTTGAGAGTTTGATCGTGTTTTTGTTGAGAGTTTGATCGTGTTTTTGTTGAGAGTTTGATCGTGTTTTTGTTGAGACTTTGATCGTGTTTTTGTTGAGAGTTTGATCGTGTTTTTGTTGAGAGTTTGATCGTGTTTTTGTTGAGAGTTTGATCGTGTTTTTGTTGAGAGTTTGATCGTGTTTTTGTTGAGAGTTTGATCGTGTTTTTGTTGAGAGTTTGATCGTGTTTTTGTTGAGAGTTTGATCGTGTTTTTGTTGAGACTTTGATCGTGTTTTTGTTGAGAGTTTGATCGTGTTTTTGTTGGGTGATGAGTATTTTTTTTTTTGGTTGAATTTTTGTTATTTGTTGTGGGAATTGTAGTTTTTTTGTGCTATTTGCTGTTTTTTTTATTGGAAGTTCAGTAATTGTTTTGTGGGAGTTGAGTATTGTTTTTGTTAGGCGTTATGTAGTTGTTTGTTAGTTGTTTGGCAATAAGTAGTTTTTTGTCGGATAATTGGTATATTTTTGTTCGTTTAGTTGTTCTTTGTTGCTCTTGTAATAGATGTTTTGCTGAGCGAAAAGTTTTTATTTTTATTTTTTGACGATTTATAATTTGTTGTTGGACTTTTCTTAACTGTTTTATCATTTAATAATACCATCACAGTGTCACCACAACACCACCAGAACACCACCATAACACCACCATAACACCACCATAACACCACCAGAACACCACCAGAACACCACCATAACACCACCATAACACCACCATAACACCACCAGAACACCACCAGAATAACACCACTACAACACCGCCACAACAACTTCTGCACAACACATGCGCACCACCCCCACAATAACACCAGCACAACACCACCGTAGCACCACAACACCACCATAACACCACGGCAGCACACCTACACCTCCGTAGTACCACAACACCACCGTAACACCATGGCAGCACACCTACACCTCCGTAGTACCACAACACCACCGTAACACCACGGTAGCACACCTACACCTCCGTAGCACCACAACACCACCGTAACACCACGGTAGCACACCTACACCTCCGTAGCACCACAACACCACCGTAACACCACGGCAGCACACCTACACCTCCGTAGCACCACAACACCACCATAACAAATGCTGTGTTTGCAAAGAACTTTTATATAGTAAGGAAAGAGAGAGACGGGAGAGGAGGAGGAGTGGCTCTGCTGATAAGGAAGGACTGGAGCTTTGAAGAGATGGAAATTCTGGGCTGCGACGGATTCAGAGATTACATAACAGGAACTATGACAATAGGTAGACCTAAGATAATAGTGGCAGTCATTTACAACCCTCCATTAAATGACAGAAGACCCAGACAAGAGTTCGAGAGAAACAACATGGCTACCATTAACATAATAGAGAGAGCAGCTTCAGTTGCTTGCAGGAATGGATCCACACTCTTAATCATGGGCAATTTCAACCATGGAAAGATAGACTGGGAGAATGGGGACCCACATGGAGGTGAAGACACATGGAGATCTACACTTTTGGAAGTGAGTAGAAGGAACTTTCTGAGCCAACATGTCAAGGGACCCACAAGAATGAGAGGAAATGACGAACCAGCTAGACTCGACCTGATATTCACCTTAAATGACTCAGAAATAAGGGAAGTCAAACATGAAGCCCCCATAGCAATGAGTGACCACAATGTATTGATATTTGAGTATCTGGTAGAAGTAGGGATAACCTATCCAAGGATGGGATTGCAAGGAAAAAGACTAAATTACCGAAGAGGTAAATATGATGAGATGAGGAACTTCCTAATGGGAATACCATGGGAAACAGAACTCAGAGAAAAAACTGTACAGGATATGATGGATTATGTCACTCAGAAGTGTGAGGAGGCTGCAGACAGGTTTATCCCAGTCTAAAAAGTTAAAAAATGAAAAGCAACAGAAGAATCCGTGGTTCAACCAGGAATGTGCAGCAGCGAAGCAATTGAGTAAAAGAACATGGCGAAACTACAGGAACAACAGAACACCAGAGAGCAGGGAGAGATACCAGAGGGCCAGAAATGAATACATCAGAGTGAGGAGGGAAGCAAAGAGACAGTATGAAAATGACATCGCGATTAAAGCCAAGACCCAACCAAAACTGCCCCATAACCACATCAGGAGGAATACAGCAGTGCAGGAACAAGTGATGAAACTGAGAAAAGGAGAGAACAGATACACAGAGAACGACAATGATGTGTGTGAAGAACTCAACGAGAGATTCCAGGAGGTCTTTACAATAGAACAAGGAGAGGTCCCTGCACTAAATGAGGAGGCAAACCGAACAACCTTGGACAAATTTTACCTCACAAGTGATGAGGTCAAAAGGAATCTGTTGGAGCTGAAAGTGTCAAAAGCTGTTGGGCCTGACAGAATCTCACCATGGATACTAAAAGAAGGTGCAGAAGCACTAAGTGTGCCACACTCTATGGTGTATAACAGGTCACTGGAAACAGGAGACCTTCCAGAAACCTGGAAGACAGCTAATCTAGTCCCAATTTACAAAAAGGGTGACAGGCAAGAAGCACTGAACTACAGGCCAGTTTCCCTAACTTATATACCATGCAATGTGATGGAAAAGATTGCGAGCAAAAGGCTCGTAGAGCATCTGGAGGGAAATAACTTTGTAACGCACCAACAACATGGGTTCAGGGATGGTAAATCGTGCCTGACAGGTTTAGCAGAATTCTATGACCAAACAATACAAATTAGGCAGGAAAGAGAAGGGTGGGCAAACTACATTTTCTTTGACTGTCAGAAAGCCTTTGACACAGTACCTCACAAAAGGCTGTTATAAAAGTTGGAGCAGCAGGCAGGAGTAAAAGGTAAGGTGCTTCAGTGCATAAGGGAGTATCTAATCAAAAGGAAACAGAGAGTAACTGTGAGGGGGAAGCATTAGAGTGGCGAGATGTCACCTGCGGGGTTCCACAGGGCTCTGTACTTGGACCCATCCTGTTTCTAGTATATGTAAACGACCTTCCAGAGGGTCGTTTGAATGAGTCCAGAGATTCATTCCTCTCAATGTTTGCTGATGATGCAAAAATTATGAGAAAAATCAAAACAGATGAAGATAGACAGAGACTACAGGATGACCTGGACAAACTGGAGGAATGGTCTAGAAAATAGCTGCTAAAGCTCAACTCAGGAAAGTGTAAAGTAATGAAATTAGGCGAAGGGAGCAGGAGGCTGAACACAAGGTACCATCTGGGAGGTGAAATCCTGCAAGAGTCAAATAGAGAGAAAGATCTGGGGGTCGATATCTCACCGAATCTGTCCCCAGAGGCCCACATCAAAGAGATATCATCCGCGGCATATACTAGACTGGCCAATATGAGAACTGCCTTTAGAAACTTGTGTAAAGAATCGTTCAGGACCCTGTATCCCACTTATGTAAGACCAATCCTGGAGTATACAGCTTCAGCCTGGAGTTCATACCTAGTTAAACACAAGACAAAGTTAGAGAAGATTCAGAGGTATGACACCAGACTGATCCCGGAACTGAGAGGAATGAGCAACGACGAAAAGCTAAGGGAGCTGAACCTCACAACACTGGAAAACAGAAGAGTAAGGGGAGACATGATAACTACCTACAAAATTCTCAGGGGAATTGACAGGATGGACAAAGACAAACTCTTCAGCACGGGTGGAACACGAACAAGGGGACACAGGTGGAAACTTAGTACCCAGATGAGCCACAGAGACGTTAGAAAGATTTTCTTCAGTGTTAGGGAAGTTAACAAATGGAATGCATTAAGTAGTGTTGTGGTGGAGGCTGACTCCATACACAGTTTCAAATGTAGATATAATAGAGCCCAGTAGGCTCAGGAATCTGTACACCAGTTGATTGACAGTTGAGTGGCGGGACCAAAGAGCCAGAGCTCAACCCCCGCAAGCACAACTAGGTGATTACAACTAGGTGATTACAACTAGGTGAGTAGTACAACACGACAACAACACCATCACAACACCCTCGTAGCCCCACAACACCATCACAACACCCTCGTAGCCCCACAACACCATCACAACACCCTCGTAGCCCCACAACACCATCACAACACCCTCGTAGCCCCACAACACCATCACAACACCCTCGTAGCCCCACAACACCATCACAACACCCTCGTAGCCCCACAACACCATCACAACACCCTCGTAGCCCCACAACACCATCACAACACCCTCGTAGCCCCACAACACCATCACAACACCCTCGTAGCCCCACAACACCATCACAACACCCTCGTAGCCCCACAACACCCTCGTAACACCATCACAACACCCTCGTAGCCCCACAACACCATCACAACACCCTCGTAGCCCCACAACACCATCACAACACCCTCGTAGCCCCACAACACCATCACAACACCCTCGTAGCCCCACAACACCCTCGTAGCCCCACAACACCATCACAACACCCTCGTAGCCCCACAACACCATCACAACACCCTCGTAGCCCCACAACACCATCACAACACCCTCGTAGCCCCACAACACCATCACAACACCCTCGTAGCCCCACAACACCCTCGTAGCCCCACAACACCATCACAACACCCTCGTAGCCCCACAACACCATCACAACACCCTCGTAGCCCCACAACACCATCACAACACCCTCGTAGCCCCACAACACCATCACAATGTGATGAAATACATGCCTTCTTGTATATAAATAAATAAATAAATAAGCAAACATTCAGACCTTGTTATGCAAACTCCGCCGCCAGCTGACTTTAGGATTATAGCTCTTGAAGGGAAAAGAATAATCAGATTACTCCAAATCTGCTTCGCAACATTACACAGGTGCATATTGAAGCAAACTTGTCATCTGACAGCTTCACATACTTCACAGATGGTCAGTCGAGCAACTGGGACAATAATACAGAGCTGCAGTTAACGCAGGATATTCTGCATTTAGTTGGAGACTCTCAAACAGGTGTTCAACTCTACAAACAGAAATGCTAGCCATTCTAACAGGCTTTGCAAAATACTCTTCTTGAACACCGACGACGTGTTGTCATATATACAGATTCGAGAACTGCCATTGAAACCTTGCAACAAGAACACCTATGTGTTATTGTTGCAAGGTTTCAAGACATAAAGAGCGGTCATCTGAACGAGCATTCATTTAGGCCCCTTAACTCGACGTTTGGTTCGCCCCACAGCGCCAGTTCTGGTTACCACAAATGGTCTACTGGATACTCAGATTAGTCGCTAAAGCTTCTGGTTTC